ACTTGGTGGCAGTGCACCGCCGGAGGGCCCCAGAAACAGTGTTCATCTAGGCCTCTGGGGGGACAACAGAGAAGTAGGGGGTCCTAATATTGATATCATTTTTACAGTTATTCTGGGATGAAAGTAAAGGAAATGCTTGTTATTCATACTATTAAAACAATTGTTACTTGATATTCCACCAGCAGTTGGGCAGTTTAAATGAGGGCTTAAATCTGTCTCTGAGAATGCTGGCATAATTACGTAATAGCGCTGCTAATAGTTAATAGCCATTACAAGTTCTCAAAACTTAGGTTGAGGATGACTGGATGACCATTACTGTATGTTAAAGACTTGCTTGGACAGCAGTTTTTCTGTATGGGTAATAGTCTATGATCTTGTATTGTCCAGAGCGGATGGAATTCATATATCTAAACTGGAAGGGAAAGAAAAAGGTGTTAGGTCATTAAGGACTATTTTCACTGTTAGTGAGCGTTGGTTGTCTCTCCCTCCCTGTTCCAGCTCTGTGAACGATAAAACGCCGGGCCCTGGTGCCGCCTGTGATTCCATGCCATATCCTGGCTGTGCCAAGGATGCAGCCATGGTAGCCCTGGCACCACAAAGTGCCTTGTTTGCACTATGCCCAACCTAGCAGATGGCATATCTTGCAGAAATGCCCATCTTCAAACAGTAAACAAAACACATGTATCAGACTAAAGCAAAAGTTTCTCCTGTCCTACTTACAGTACCATATATATATATACAGTATATATATTTAATGGAATATCTACATAGGCGTACAGAGGCCCATTATCAGCAACCATCAGTCCTGTGTTCCAATGGCACGTTGTGTTTGCTAATCCAAGTTTATCATTTTAAAAGGCTAATTGATCATTAGAAAAGCCTTTTGCAATTATGTTAGCACAGCTGAAAACTGTTGTGCTGATTAAAAGAAGCAATAAAATTGGCCTTCTTGAGACTAGTTGAGAATATGGAGCGTCAGCAATTCGATTACAGGCTCAAAATGGCCAGAAACAAATAACTTTCTTCTGAAACTCGTCAGTCTATTCTTGTTCTGAGAAATGAAGGCTATTCTATGCGAGAAATTGCCAAGAAACTGAAGATCTCATACAACGCTGTGTACTACTCCCTTCACAGAACAGCACAAACTGTTTGAGAAACAGACGCCTCACAGGTCCTCAACTGGCAGCTTCATTAAATAGTACCCGCAAAACACCAGTCTCAACGTCAACAGTGAAGAGGCGACTCCGGGATGCTGACCTTCTAGGCAGGGTTGCAAAGAAAAAGCCATTTCTCAGACTGGCCAATAAAAAGAAAATATTAAGATGGGCAGTCTGAGATATGGCTTTTTCTTTGCAACTCTGTCTAGAAGGTCAGCATCCCAGAGTCGCCTCTTCACTGTTGACGTTGAGACTGGTGTTTTCCTGGTACTATTTAATCAGCCGTTTCCAGCTACAATAGCCATTTACAACATTAACAATGTCTACACTGTATTTCTGATCAATTTGATGTTATATTAATGGACACTAGAGATTGGAAACCAGAGAAGGGCCACAGAACCATGTGTCTATCAGTAAAAATAATACTGATGTAATTTGCCTGCAAGGTGGGAGAAAAGCGTATGGAGTCAAATGAAGCCTACTTAGAGGAAACTAAACTCAGCAAAAAAAGAAACGTCCCCTTTTCAGGACCCTGTCTTTCAAAGATAATTCGTAAAATTCAAAATAACTTCACAGATCTTCATTGTAAAGGGTTTAAACACTGTTTCCCATGCTTGTTCAATTAACCATAAACAATTAATGAACATGCACCTGTGGAACGGTCGTTAAGACACTAACAGCTTACAGAGAGTAGGCAATTAAGGTCACAGTTATGAAAACTTAGGATACTAGAGAGGCCTTTCTACTGACTCTGAAAAACACCAAAAGAAAGATGCCCAGGGTCCCTGCTCATCTGCGTGAACATGCCTTAGGCATGCTGCAAGGAGGCATGAGGACTGCAGATGTGGCCAGGGCAATAAATTGCAATGTCCGTACTGTGAGACGCCTAAGACAGCGCTACAGGGAGACAGGACGGACAGCTGATCGTCCTCGCAGTGGCAGACCACGTGTAACAACACCTGCACAGGATCGGTACATCTGAACATCACACCTGCGGGACAGGTACAGGATGGCAACAACAACTGCCCGAGTTACACCAGGAGCGCACAATCCCTCCATCAGTGACGCGTCGCGGTTTTGTCTCACCAGGGGTGATGGTCGGATTCGCGTTTATCATCGAAGGAATGAGCGTTACACCGAGGCCTGTACTCTGGTGCGGGATCGATTTGGAGGTGGAGGGTCCGTCATGGTCTGGAGCGATGTGTAACAGCATCATCGGACTGAGCTTGTTGTCATTGCAGGCAATCTCAACGCTGTGCGTTACAGGGAAGACATCCTCCTCCCTCATGTGGTACCCTTCCTGCAGGCTCATCCTGACATGAGCCTCCAGCATGACAATGCCACCAGCCAAACTGCTCGTTCTGTGTGTGATTTCCTGCAAGACAGGAATGTCAGTGTTCTGCCATGGCCAGCGAAGAGCCTGGATCTCAATCCCATTGAACACGTCTGGGACCTGTTGGATCGGAGGATGAGGGCTAAGGCCATTCCCCCCAGAAATGTCCGGGAACTTGCAGGTGCCTTGGTGGAAGAGTAGGGCAGGGGCGGTGTGTTCATTAGGGCGATATGGGCGACGCACTGCCAAACGGGAAAAGGAAGGGATTTTTTTTCTAATCAATTATATCACGGCAACAGTAGTTATCAGTGTTCTAATCTAGACGTCTGATCTGCCACTAAATGTCCAATCAGGCTAAAGTCGTGCTTCAAATGGCCCCGCCCCTTTTGGGGCGATTTCAGTCAGGTTGAAAATCGCCCCAGAAGTCTCTCATAGACTCTCATGTAAAATCTTATTTTTTCAAATATCAGAGCTTTCAATACAATCTCTATGGGTTCCGGGAGGGCTTGCACTTACGCGCTTTCGTCATACGTAACATAACCATGAACGTAACTAAGAAAAGAGCGGGTAGCAGCGTCAATCAATTCACGTACTACTGTCAAGATGGCTAGCGTTCAGTGCAACTCGATTGTCTCTTTGAAAGAAGTTCCTTTTTGTCGGCGAACAAATCAAGATAAATTGGCAACGAAACAATTAGGACCTCCCAGACCAAATTTAATAATTCAACAGGTTTCTACTAAAGGGGGAAAGTCCTACACCCGAGGATTTTCCAAAAATTGGTACGAACGAAAAACCTGGCTAGCAGGCTGCGATGTAGCTAATGCAGTCTTCTGCTACCCCTGCTTACTCTTTCACCCTGAAGGCGGCACGGCAGACAGCACCACTTGGACAGCGACTGGTGTAACGGACATGCACCATCTTTCAGAAAAGATTAAGAAACATGAGCTGTCAAAGACCCACATGGATAGCTGTTTGAGATTGTCTGCTTTGGGGAGAGTGAACATTGCCACTCAACTGGATGAGGGATACAGGCTAGCTGTCCGCCGCCACAACGATGAGGTTAGCAAGAACCGCCACATCCTCAGCCGGCTAATCCAGTGTGTGAAGTTTTGCGGAGTGTTTGAGTTAGCTTTGCGCGGCAAAGATGAAACTGAGGGCTCCACCAACCCTGGTATTTTTCTTGGACTTGTCAACTTTGTGGCACAATTAGATGAGGTGTTTTATGGAAATACATATTGTTTATGCAGTGTTGAGGAATGTGAAAGAACACCCTTGATTATTTTTACTGTGATAACTTATTTTGCTTTTGTAAGCCAACACTTTTGAGATCAGTCAATAAATGCTTCTGGTATTGACTTATATGCTGCCCCTGTCTTCATGTTGTTGCTGGACATATCTTTTTTTAAATGTGTGTAGGTCACCTAAATCATAAGAAAAATTGCCCCCCCTGAGAATTTTTTCAGGAGCCGCCACTGGAGTAGGGTAACATCTCACAGTAAGAACTGGCAAATCTAGTGCAGTCCATGAGGAGGAGATGCACTGCAGTACTTAATGCAGCTGGTGGCCACACCAGATACTGACTGTTACTTTTTATTTTGACCCCCCCTTTGTTCAGGGACACATTATTCAATTTATGTTAGTCACATCTGTGGAACTTGTTCAGTTTATGTCTCAGTTGTCTCAGTTGTTGAATCTTGTTATGTTCATACAAATATTTACACGTTAAGTTTTCTGAAAATAAGTCATTTAGCTGTTGAAATTACACCTCTGGCTTTGGGCTAAGCCCCCAATATCTCAAATCCTAGAAACACCCCTGGTAAACATGTTCTATAAGCAGTACTTTATATGTTATTTTATGGATTTGGCCAGCTAAGAAAGCCAGGGGTTTCATATGAAACGTTGTCTAATTGTTTACACGTAAATTTGGGCTGAATTCTTTATATTCTTGTCATTCATTTCCTGCAAAGGTCAGCTTTTCACCAGCCGGTCTATACTGCCCAAATAGAGTTTGTCTGAATTAAATAACATATAGCCTATGTTTGTAGTATTCCTATGCATCCTCTACTTATTTATTTATAACTTGTGCTTCTTGAAACGATCTACAAGTCTGGGTGGCAGCAGAGAGCTCTAAGTGATGCTGAGTTTCCAGACCGCGATTCGCCACAGACAGAACCGCTAAAGCTGGGCGGGGGAAAACTCGTGAGCACACTTCCACTCTTTCTACCACTTCGAATCACTCCGGCGAGATATAGTCGCATAGGTTAGTGCAATATGAATAGAAGATGAGCCAAAACCTAAACGGAATTAACCATAAAACATAATTAGGCCTACAGCGTGTTATGTTCATGTAGCCTAATTTGCCGTTCCCATCTCTTTGCGCTGTTGCATCCGGCTTATTAGGGATTTATGCAGTTTATTTGTTTGCAGTTGTGAGATAAAAGCTCGACTTATTCAGCGGTTTCTGATAGGGGTTTCGTTTCTGTTTTTCTGTAGTTGTCAAAGCGGAATGAATGACAAAGACAAAGGCTGATGTTAATTCGCCAACTCACTTTGTCTCGCCGAAGGAAAGGAGACACAGGCACAAAATGGAAAGCGGGACGGAGAGCATCGACAGCGGGCAGGCGAAGCCCCAACAACAGCACCAGTTCGAGCAACAGCCCGTAGTGCAGCCCATTCAAGTCAACGCAAAGAAAAAAATTAATCGGGCTCCATCACCCGCCAGACCCAAGGATGTGCCTGGATGGTCCCTCACCAAGATCCGAGGAGGAATCGGTACACCAACACTGAGCGTTAAACCAGGATCCATACATTTAGGCAGCCGGGTGTCCAGGCGTAGTCCGGTTAGCGGGAAAGAGACAAAATCTGAGAAAGGAAAACTGCCGGGAAAATCCACACTATCGGTTGCCAGTGCCCAGAAGAGCGGCAGTAAATCGATGAAAGGTGGTCGGAGGAAGGTGTCTGATGCGAGCAACGCCTCCGACGACCTGAGCAAAGACTCCGGTTGCGCTGCGGGCAAACTGTCGCCAACGGATAGCAGTTCCGAGCTCTCCGATTGCGCCTCCGAGGAGAATAAACTCTTCACCGACGCTCTGAGTAGTGACACGGAATCCAACAGCCGAGGCGGGGGGCTTGATGGCGATAAACCGAGCAGTGACTGCGTACATGGGCCACTGGATAAGGGTAGTCGTGGTGACCATCACGCCAAGACCCCAGTGGATAAGGACCGACTCTCCCTGGCAGTGGAGACCGTGGGGGGGAGCATTTCTCCCGGGGATGAACGGTCTCTCACCTCGTTCGACAGCCGGGTGCCTGCCAGCACATCCCTGGCTTTCTCCGACCTGACGGAAGAGTTCATGGATGGCATGCATGAAGAATTTGTCAGGGAAATCGAGGAACTGAGATCAGAAAACGATTACCTAAAAGTAAGCATATTTTTTTCCATATTTGCTTCAACTACAGAAATTCCTCCCTCAGATTGTTCTAATTTGTGAAAGAAAACAAAAACAAAACCCTGCTCTCCAAGAACGGTTCTGTTAAAGGGGCAATCTGTAGTTGCTACATACATTTTGGACTTATAAATGAATGATATGTACCCATTGATTCTTGAAGAAAATAACTTAGAAATGCCCCATGAGCTTAGTTCAACTGTCATACTCCATCAGAACCCCAAATATAAGCTTGTTTTACTCCAATGTTTGTAAACAAACACTATATGGCCTCAAAACATGGTTAAAACATGGTCGAAGCATGGTTAAAACTAGCATTTTTATATTATGGATGGTCAGGACTTGCAACCATAGTTTTGTCTATGAATTTGAGTGGTTACATTTGTCCAGCCCTAGCCCTCAGTTTTAACCGAAACAGGGGCGGGGACTTCACTTTGTTGTTGTTTCAACTACTGAATGCCGTTTTAAGAGATGGAGCCGGAACTACTATTTTCATTGGCTCACCAAAGAAACGAATTAAATTTGCATAAAATATTCATGCAGAATCAATATTCTGAACTTCAGGTTAAAAAAATCAATGCAAATCCAAATTGGCCACATAACCAACAACTTCTTAAGTACATGATTGTTAAGTCATCCTAACTCTTGTCCAAAAACAACAACAAAATACCACACTTTGAAGGCACAGAGACTTAGGGTGGTCAGTGTTATCTCAGAATATAAACTCCATGTTGTCTCAGCTGTTGTGTTCACTGCTCATGATGGTCAGGTGGTTAGTGAATTCCCAAAACATCAGAGGTGGTTGGAGGTGGTTGCAGGGCGCTCATCCGTTACGCACGAGAGGATTACAGTGACATGGTTAAGACAGCTTGACTAATTGTATTTTGTCATCCAATATTATCATTGACACACGTCACGGAGACTGGCTCAGTGTGGGGGCTCAAGAATTAATTGAATTATCCTACAGGCCTGTGTGCAAAGGCGCACCATAACAAGCACCATAACAACGGTTTATCCAAGCAACTTCTTGGTTACCTTTAGCACATTTTCTTTCATTAGTATTATTAGATTTAGAATGATGATTATTATGGTATACATAGGCCTTCCTAGGCTACTGTGTGGTGGCCATCTAAGATCAAAAGTCCACAAAAGAAGGCAGTTCACTAGGACAGTAATTTGCATGAATGCGTAATGCACACTTCCACAATCATGCTCATGATAGGTTTTTGGTTAATTGCTGACCATAATCATCAAATCTATCTGACTGATTGATTACCACAGACAGCCATGGGGAGCCACATCCTTCTTTATTAGTCAGTCTAATTACGCGTAAAAATCAGGTCATGTGTGCAGCCATAGTAGTACCTGAGCTCCACATCTTTATTTATTAATCCCCTGCTTCCTCTCTCCGGTCCTCCACACATCTGTCGGACTATTGCAGCTGTTTTCTGGGAGTAGCCTGCCTCGTGCAGATGCTGCAGTCGAGTGTCCTACCGTCCTCATTCCACACATCATTGTTTGTACCGGGTCGCACTAGTGACACGCTCTGCAGTGGATGACCCACATTCCCCTGTCTTTTATCAGCGTGCACTGCGCGGCAGCCCTCCGCATATTAACCATCTATTTACTACTACTACTACACACTTCATCCACCACCCGTAGAAATATTTCATCTGCCTTATTACTCTGCCGCTGTCAGGTGGGTTGTAGGATTTGGGCTAATGCCTCTCCAACTGCACACTGTGTTGTTATGTAAGTAGTAGTTTGGAATGCCAGGTTAACGCCCCTAAGGCTTTTTGGGTTTGATTTAAATCAAAAAATAATTTAAATCATAAATCATAACATTGTTATTATTCAGGTATACAGCTGTGGAAAATATTAAGAGACCACAGCAAATTTTTCTTAAATCAGCATCTCTACATGTATGACAGCCATTCCATTCCAACACAGGCACACCTCATTCTACTGAATTAGGTACTGATTAGGTGATCACCTGAACCAAATCTTATTTAACGAGGAAAAGTATAAAAACCACTGCTGTGGTCATCACTATCCGCTTGCAATAGGACCAGCTGGATGGCAAAAACAGTGCTAATTGTACCTCAAAAGTAATATTAATCAAAAAATAACTATTGACCATGCCAAAAGAGTTGAAAATGAAAGTTTTGAGTGAGGAAAAGAAGGGTTCAATTCTGGCTTTACTGGCAGAGGGATACAGTGAGCATCAGGTTGCTTCCATCCTTAAAATGTCAAAGACGGCTGTTCATAAGAACAAGGTCAAGCAGCAGACATTGGGGACAAGAAAGCTACAGACAGGCAGAGGGCGAAAATGACTCTCTACTGACCGGGATGACCGCCAACTCATTCGAATGTCACTCAACAACCGTAGGATGACATCAAGTGACCTACAAAAATAATGGCAAACGGCAGCTGGGGTGAAGTGCATGGCGAGGACGATTCGAAACAGTCTCCTAGGGGCTGAAGTCGTGCAAAGCTAGAAAAAAGCCCTTCATCAATGAGAAGCAAAGAAGAGCCAGGTTAGGTTTGCAAAAGACCATAATAATTGGACCGTAGAGGACTGGAGTAAGGTCATCTTATCTGATGAGTCCAGTTTTCAGCTTTGCCCAACACCTGGTCGTCTAATGGTTAGACGGAGACCTGGAGAGGCCTACAAGCCACAGTGTCTCACATCCACTGTGAAATTTGGTGGAGGATCGGTGATGATCTGGGGGTGCTTCAGCAAGGCTGGAATCGGGCAGATTTGTCTTTGTGAAGGACGCATGAATCAAGCCACGTACAAGGTTGTCCTGGAAGAAAACTTGCTTCCTTTTGCTCTGACATTGTTCCCCAACTCTGAGGATTGGTTTTTTCCAGCAGGACAATGCGCCATGCCACACAGCCAGGTCAATCAAGGTGTGGATGGAGGACCACCAGATCAAGACCCTGTCATGGCCAGCCTAATCTCCAGACCTGAACCCCATTGAAAACATCTGGAATGTGATCAAGAGGAAGATGGATGGTCACAAGCCATCAAACAAAGCCGAGCTGCTTGAATTTTTGCGCCAGGAGTGGCATAAAGTCACCCAACATCAATGTGAAAGACTGGTGGAGAGCATGCCAAGACGCATGAAAGCTGTGATTGAAAATCAGGGTTATTCCACCAAATATTGATTTCTGAACTCTTCCTAAGTTAAAACATTACTATTGTGTTGTTTAAAACTGAACATGAACTTATTTTCTTTGCATTATTTGAGGTCTGACAACACTGCATCTTTTTTGTTATTTTGACCAGTTGTCATTTTCTGCAAATAAATGCTATAAATGACAATATTTGTATTTGAAATTTGGGAGAAATGTTGTCAGTAGTTTATAGAATAAAACAAAAAGGATATTTTTACCCAAACACATACCTATAAATAGTAAATACAGAGAAACTGATAATTTTGCAGTGGTCTCTTAATTTTTTCCGCAGCTGTATATCAGCTGGGCAAAGTTCCGTTCTGTATTAATCTCAGTGTTCTGCAGTGGTTTACTCCTGGACTGGTTATGTAGACTACCGTTATGATGGGGTTGTTAATGCTATATACATTGTTCTTGATTCTGAGATGAAGATACACATCCTGCTAAGGAGACAGTGACAATGATGATGGTGTTGATGACTGATCTGATGCTGACATATACTGTACATTAATGATTAGAAAGAGTATAGTGATTGCACACTAGCTCATCAAGACCCTGTATATGGTAGGTAACCATTTCCAACCATTCTCACCCCTCCTCTCTCCTCCACCCTTCCCCCATCCTCTCTCCCCAGGATGAGATGGAGGAGCTGCGCTCTGAGATGTTGGAGATGAGGGACATGTACATGGAGGAGGATGTGTACCAGCTGCAGGAGCTGAGGCAGCAGTTTGAGCAGACCAACAAGACCTGCCGCATCCTGCAGTACCGCCTCCGCAAGGCCGAGAGACGCAGCCTCCGCGTGGCCCAGACGGGACAGGTGGACGGGGAGCTCATCCGAACCCTGGAGCAGGACGTCAAGGTGAGTGGAGAGGGAGAGAGTCTGGATGGATCCGTGTTTGTGAGGGTGGGGTGTGTCTGTCATCATCGACTTCCATGGACAGCTAAAATGGTGTGTGTGTGTGTGTGTGTGCGCGTGTGCATGCCAATGCATAATTCATATGTCAGTGACACAAACAGAAACTTGAAGAGATACTGAACATTGGGTAATTGCTAGCATTTAAGTGTTTACAGACTTTTAGAAACTTCAAAGATAGGGGGTATGACATAACAGATCATAGGACAAAAGTTATATTTGGCTTTAAATGCATCCATTCACACACCATTGATGGGATTTCTTGTTAGTAGAGACATTTCTGGTTGTGGGTCTTCCTACTGACCTAAGGCTATGGTTACACATCCCAAATTCATAGCATTTTGTGAACCATTTCCATGTGACAAAAGCACAATGAGGTCTTTCTCAGAAATCGAGGGGGAGAGGAGAGGGGAGGGTGATGATGTCATTCCCTGAAGGCCGGCCGCTGTCCCTCACAAAAAATGGTCCAGTTGTATATCTTTTAAAAAAAGAGAAAGAAATGGGAAGAAAAGCACCCCTTCTTTCTGGCGATCTAATATTATGCCCCTGTGCGGTGCGTCTATGCTGACTCTGGGGGATAAGGAATTGGTCTGGCTCCCGAGTTAGGTCCTCAGCAGCCAATCGGGGTGCAGCGGGAGGGCTCTCCGGGCCGGGGGAAGCCGGTCAAAAAAGGCCATTAACACAGGAAACCAAAAACAAACCACAGGGATGTGACCCTGGCGGCCTCTGCTCTCCGCCATCTCTCTCTCCGTATTCCTAAACAGCCAGGCCCAGTCTTTCAACACATACCTGATTGTTTCCTCTAACTACCAACTACACCAGTTCAAATGTCCCCTTCTTGTTCCCTCAAATTGGGTTTAAACACTCCCATGCCCTCCAGACTCGCTCCAAACTGAGTTCATCTGAACCGTGAGGCCGACTGTGTTATCTGATAGTAGGGGTTAATCAAGCATCAAACCAAGCACTGGGGGAAGGAAATGTGTCTCACATGTTTTAGAGGATTTGGGCTGTATGTATTCCTAGTGATATTTGAGACTTGTCCTGTACCAGCCACTGTAAACCCTCTTTAACTTAAACAGTAGTACGCTATGTTACATTCAGTGGATACAAGTAGTTTCAACACATTGGGGAAGGTTCCTTAGACTAAAGAAATACTCAGTCTTTATTAGTCACATAGTACTCAACCAACATGATCACATAAAATAACATACTGTAAGTTGATAGGGCTGTAGTAGTAGGGCTACACTTAAATTGGCTTAAGGTTATTGTTGTTCTCTCTCTTAAGTCCTTGTTCCCTGAGTCACACACTGAGCTGTTGCCTTTTTCCTGTTGCATCCTGCCCTGCAGCGCTCTGCAGGGGGAGGGGTGTGTACGCCTGCATGCATAACGTGTTCACGTGTGTGTGTGATATCTGGAGATGGTCATTTTCTGTCCTCTCTGACCCACTGTCCTAATTCCAGAGCTATGAAACATCTGGGTCTGATACAGGAAATAGAAAACAGTGAGGTCTACCACAATGTCAATGGATATACACTAAGGGAAATACAGTATTTGCTCCAAGAATGTCCAGTAGGATATGGAATTAGTCTTGCATTACACTGTCTGGGTCAGAGGGTTTACTTCAGGGCAGCTAGCTAGCTTAATGCATAAACATCATACCATTCTCTCCCAGCCTGGATGCTATAATGCCATAGTCATTTTTTGCTGGGGAAACCAACTGAGGTATTTTATTGATAGTCATAAGCCACAGTCTTTTCACACTGCCTGTGAATTGTGGTCTTCACTGTTTACTTGGCTCACGTGTGAAAGATACCATATCCTTCCCTTCTGGGCTTCACATATACAGGATGAGTGTGCAGAGCTTCCATGTACTCATAGCAACAGCCGAGTTGCATATAGGAAGGGAAAGGAGGGGTTAGTGAGATAGGGAGGATTCCCTCTCTCTCTCAGCAGCAGATATAATAAATAATATATGCCATTTAACAGATGCTTTTATTCAAAGCGACTTACAGTCATGCGTGCATGGATTTTACATATAGGTGGTCCTGGGAATCGAACACACTACCCTGATGTTACAAGCGCCATGCTCTACCAACTGAGCTACAAAGGACTGCAGATAACAACTGGGCAGCAGTAAGAGCAGCATCCTGGAGATAGTATACCCATAGAAACCGTCTCCATGTGTCAGCCAGGCAGGCCCCGTTCAGTGAGCCAATTGGCTGGTTCATGGAGTTCCAGGAAGTGTTGTTGATCCCTGTGCCTGCTGCCTGCTCAGCACGACACTAGCAGGAGTGTGTGTGGATGCCCACCGTGTGGATTATACTGTAACCACTATACAACTGTCGTGCAGAGGTCGGCTCTTTCACTGCTGAAGAGCTTTTTTATATATAGACAGAAGGGAAGAAGATTACTGTGCTCTGTTTCTAGAGGCTGCAACAGGAAGGATAACAACTAGATGATAGTTACATAAAAGTGCACCAGTTGGCTGAACCTGTTAGCTGATACTGCAATAATGGATCCTATCATGATTTGAATGGCTAAGCTATATAGTAAATACTCAATACTTTCATAGAGTATGCTCTCCTTTGTAAGCACTTTCTTAGCTCATTAAAGTAGAAAATACAATATCTCTTCAAGATATACTTTACAGTAAAGTCAGTAAGGCTTCGGCTAATCAAGTTGGAGTCATGGCCTACGTCGCAAATGGCAGCCTATTCCCTTCATAGTGCTCTACTTTTGATCAGAACCCTATGGACCCTGTTGAAATGTAGTGCACTACATACGGAATAGGGTGCCATTTGGGACGTAACCATGGCCAATGCTTTACACACTCCCCCATCCTGCACTTACTGCCAACATGCAAAACCCTGATGATAAAATCTACAGGGAAGTCGTTGGAAAACGGCGTTTGGAGGAACAGTTAGAGGGGCAGCTGTGACCGTGCTGACAGGCAGGATCAGAGGGGGAACAGGGATCTGCTTCAGCACAAACACAAACACACACACACTCCCATGCACGCACGCACGCATGCAAATACACATATGCGCGTACAGGCACACACACATGCGCGCACACACACACAAACGCACACCAACAAACCCACCCTCAGACTACAAAAGATTCTCTATCACACACACACTTTCACACACACTCTCCCACACAAAAACACATGAAAGACAGCCTTTTGATGGTTAAATGTCTCCGTTTGATTCTGTCTGACTCTGTTTGTCCAGTGGACCACAGAGAATAGAGGGCATCTCAAGTGTTTGGGTAGGAGGGAGGCTGATAGATGTTAGGAGTTTGAAGGCTGGGACTTGACCATAATGTACCAGTCACTCCCCCCTACATACACACTGACTGTATGCCTGTCACGTTCTCTAGTGCCAGCTGGGGCCCCTCACCAATGCTAAAACCGCTAGTTGGGTGACCCTAGACGCTGATCTTGGGTGAGTCTTTCATTTTTTCCACTATTGGTTAAGGTTAGGATTGGGGGAGAGCAAGCTGATCCTAGATCTGTACCTAGGGGAAACTTCACTCTGGCGTGCTAAAATCCACTCAAGGTGTTTCTTTCAAAGCATTATCTTTTATTGGGAGGTGCAGGCAGACAAAGCAGTGTATGGAAAGGGTCTGAACAGCGAGAGGGAGACTCCTCTCAATGAATGTGTGTTAAGTTAACAGGCCATTAATAAAGGCTGTTGCTTACTGCGAATGGGGCCCAATCACCATAAAGCATCAGAGTCTAGAAACATAGCCAGGAAACCTCCCAGAACGCTAATGAAAGAGAGCATTGATTTGACCATGCAGTCCGTCTCCCCGCCTCCCCGCCTGTCCCCCTTCTCCCTTCTACAGGACGGAGAGGAGAGGGCAGAGAGGGAGGGACAAAAGAAGTATAAGGAAAGAGAGAAAGAGAGAGAGGAAGGGAAAGGAGGGAGGGAGAGAGAGAGAGAATCACAGACTTGTGTGTATAAAGGTGAATAAAATGTGGTTTGTAAATAATATATTGTCTCTGTCTCTGTTGTTTTCCTTCCTTAAAATGATAAGTTAAGGACAGCATTAAAAACAGCCAAGCAACACAGAGAGAGAGAGGAATTAGAGCGTGGTGGTGAACTGGGCGGTTGGTCCAGCTCAGAGTGGGCAGCACAGAGGGGCATTGTGGTTCCCAGCTGCACATTGGCTCTGGTTCAGGGCCAGAGAGAATCCCCCAAAGCTCACACACACACACACACACACACACACAGAGGCCCTGTTTCCTGTCAGCCCCTTCCTCATTCAATGAGATCAGCACTGTACCACCCATTTTTTTCAAACATTTGAGTCATTTAGCAGACGCTCTTATCCAGAGCGACTTACAGTTAGTGAGTGCATACATTTTCTTTTTCATACTGGTCACCCGTGGGAAACGAACCCACAACCCTGGCGTTGCAAACGCCATGCTCTACCAACTGAGCTACACGTTACTGCACCACCCTGCACCAATAGACTCCCATCTCATGCTATGATGTTGCAAAGAGGGAGAGAAATATAGAGTGAGAGTGAAATAATATGAATAATATTGTGCCTTATATCATTATGTTTACATTTTCAATGATAAACTGTTTTCAGAACATTTGACATAAAGATGACAATCCTCTCAAATGTTTTGGATATGTTTCCCATCTATCATATGAATAGAGCACCCTTGACATGTCACCTCCTTTCCATATAAACAATTACAACTAGGCAGCTGGGTTTGCATTTGGATTGAACAACCTGTCAGTGCCCTGTGATATACAGTCACAAACACACAAACACGGTTCTTGGTTATGATAAAAATCTGCACCTTAATGTTGTTGTTGGCCCAACAGAACATCATACACTCATCTGGATAGGGTCTGTGTTTATCCCCAACTGTGTTTAATGGTCTTCCAACCGCTCAGGGGAACATATATCCAACTTTAAAGGCCCAGTGCAGTCAAAAACGTTTTATGTATATTTCCACACTATGAGGTTGGAATAATACTGTGAAAATTATTATAATGCCCTTTCAGTGTAAGAGCTGTTTGAAAAGACCGCCTGAAATTTCAACCTGTTTTGGTGGGATGGCTTGCCTGGTGACTTCACCAGGCAGTAAATGAGTTAATAGACCAATAAGAAAGAGAGTTCCAAACCTCTCTGCCAATAACAGCTAGTTTACAGTTTGTCCCTCCCCACTCAGA